AAATCATTTGGTGCTTGTCTTTCTCTGCCTGACTTATTTCACTGAGCATAATACCCTCTAGCTCCATCCATGTTGCTGCAAATGGTAGGATTTGTTTTCTTCTTATGGCTGAATAATATTCCATTGTGTATATGTACCACATCTTCTTTATCCATTCATCTACTGATGGACACTTAGGTTGCTTCCATTTCTTGGCTACTGTAAATAGTGCTGTGATAAACATAGGGGTGCATTTGTCTTTTTCAAACTGGAGTGCTGCATTCTTAGGGTAAATTCCTAGGAGTGGAATTCCCGGGCCAAATTGTATTTCTATTTTGAGCTTTTTGAGGAACCTCCATACTGCTTTCCACAATGGCTGAACTAATTTACATTTCCACCAGCAGTGTAGGAGGGTTCCCCTTTCTCCACAACCTTGCCAACATTTGTTGTTGTTTGTTTCTTGGATGGTGGCGACTCATGACCTCTTTTTAAAAATGCCTGTTCTCATCCCTTACCATTCTGGTCACACATCCTTTCAGACTTTTTTTTGTTTTCCCCTTTACATATCCCCAAACATAGGTATTACTTTCATAACTGTAATACCACTGCTCATGCTATTGGTAGAAGTGGTCATTAGTGTGGGTCTGGCTCCCCAGCTAAGCGGCCAGGTCCTCCGCGGCAGAGCTGGCATCCTCCGCTGCCCTCCTCCTCCTCGCAGAGGGACGTGCTGGAATCCCAGCTGCGGCATCCGACCCCTCCTGGTCCCAAGCACCAAGCCCGCTCTGACACAGGACGGAACTGAGGAGTGCTGTCCCCATCTGACAGAGATGTGACCTTACATCCCAGACTGGTGCCAGCACTTCTCCTTTCTTAAGGCCATAGCCTTACTTTCTAACTTTCTAAGCCAAATTCTAATTGGATCTCTGTCGTTGTTATTAACGACAATAATAATCATGGCAGCTTCCCTTGGCTGAACATCTGCAGTGTGTCAGGTGCCATGCTAAGCGCCTCCTCCTCACAGCGTTCCTGGAGGTAGGCACTATTCTTGCTGTACTCCCTGTACAGGGGAGGAAAGCAAGGCTCAGAGAAATAGTATTGCACAGTATGTAAGTGGCAGAGCTGGAGAAGAACTTGCGTTGGGCTGAGTCTGTTGGCCCCGATCCTGCAAGAACTGCCCAGCGCTATGCCACGTCTGGGGTCTTGGTCTCAGCCCCTGTGTCCTTGGAGGTCCACCTCACTCTTCCCGGTCCCCACAGGAATCCTGCCCCAGAAGCCAGGTGGCTAGAAGCTCTACTGCATGGTGACTAACCCCCACCACCGGGGCTTGGACTTCCCAGGATCTTGGATCTCACATTCCCGGTTGCTCTGGGGCCTCCCTCTTGAGATCATTCTGGTTTCTTTCACCAACAGTGGTGCTTTAGGCATTTTAGGAGGGATAATTCTTCTTTGTGTAGGTCTGTCCCACGTGCAGCATCCCTACACACTAAATGCCAGCAACACTCCAAAGTCACAATGTCAACATAACCTCCTACCCTGAAGTTTCCAAATGTTCAGAGTGGGTCAGAGAGGGTCAGAGAGTGGCATCACCCTGCCTCTGGTTCAGGGCAACTGTGCCAGACTCTCAATGCCGGGGCTTTGCTGAGACCACCACCTGTGGTCCTAATTCACAGCCTTCAGACACCTTACTCTACCCGACAGATGGCTTTTCAGCATCTACAGTTCTGTGTATCCCCCCAAGGGTCTGCTTTATCTCAGTGGATATTCTGGGCCCTAGATCCACCCATTTGCCTGACCCCTCTCCCGTGAACAAGTCATTTACTTAACATGTACTGTGTGTCAGGCACTGTTCCAAACATTAGTCCTTAAAACAACCACATGAAATATAGTCTCTTATTAAGCCATATCAGTCAGAGGAAACTGAGACACAGGGAGGTTAAGTAACTTGAGATCAAGAAGTAACCAATTTCTTTGGCATCAGGGAAGTGACACTGGACAGAGAGGAAATATCAGCTGGGTTAGAGTGATGCTGAAAGATACTCCCTTCATGACAAGGTAAGTGTAGCCGACACACTGGCCTCTGCTATCAACGCTCCTTCCCTCACTGTTTTTTAGGAAACCGATTCCCTCCTTAGCTGTCCATCAGAATTCTCTGTCACTTCTGGAACAGAACTCCTTCTAACCTACATAGTCCTTCCCTGGAATTTTCCAAATCAGAGGTGGAGAGATTGCTTTCGATGCCAGACTGTAAGGCTGACCTCAGAGCTACTGTGGCCATCCCCACAGCCACATGACAGAAGCCCACCAAGGAGGGAACAGCAGAGGAGAGAGACAGACCAAAGACAAAGGACAGGGACCGGGATAAGGCACTGCAGAGGCCAGCCCGATCCTCTCCTTTCCAGTTACGTGATTCACAAACGCCATTTATGCTTTCCCTCCTCTGAACTGAGCGTCTTCGACTTAAACCTTTTAGAGATCTGCTAACACACCTCTCGTCTAGGTAACCTGAATTTAGTCCAGACTTCAAAAGAAATCACTCTCTTTTTTATTTATGCTTCCAAAGGTAGGCACCCAAAGGGACTTAACTGATGACCCTGAAAATCAGAAAACACTTTGTGATGTCTCCCCTGAGTCAATGTGCTGGACACCAAAAATAATCAGCAGCAGCCTAGTTAAACTCTCACCCAGCACACGCAGTTCTCAAAGCAGGTCATCAAGGACCTCTCAGAGATTGCTTTTCTCTGCTGTGTTCAACTGAATTTTGGATATTTCCTTTAGGGTTTCTCAAATTTTAAGCCATATGTGGCTCTCACGTGGAGAGTTCCAAGTTATGTACAACATACCTCAGTTTTAAAAACCAACCTGCAGCTCCTTAAACTGGACTCTGAGGTGTTTTCTGTTCAGAAAACTAAAGTCTCCGGGCAGACCAGACAGGAGTGGTAGCTGTTCAGATCACTAGCTGCGAGTGCAGGTAGGAAAACTCTTGGATGTCACGGTGCTATTTGGAAAATATTGTGAAATTTAGAAATGTTTACTTTAACTGCAAGATTTGGACCTGTTTTACCAATAGAAGCGATGACTGACACCTGTATATGCAATATTCAAATCACAACCATATGTCCAAGTGTCAAACCCCATAAAAGGAAAACACAAAATCAATATTCATAGCGGC